CCCCCCCCAAGCCAAGGAAACTGAGTCACAAGGAACAACGGGGGTGGAACGTCAAAGCACAGTCCCTGGCCCTCCCCCTCCATCTAAGGTCCAGTGCTTCCTGCCCGAGGTGAGGCCACGGTCTTGATCACCGAGGGGGTGTGCGTCCACCACGCCCTAGCCGTCCATCCTTCCCGCCGGCTCCCGTCTCCGACTCCTGGGGACTGGGCTCAGGGCCTCCTGGGGGGAGCTGCTCAGATAAGAACACACACACATCTCCACGAGAACAAGCCAAGCGGCAGGCAGCTGGCCTAGATCTACACCGAGAAAGCAGAGGTTGAGCTCACGACACTGGACAGGAGCGAGCAGAGCCTTGGCTCGCCCGGAAGCTCACGGCACGTGCCCGGGCCTGGGGGTGGCCGGCCGCGAGGGCACGGTCCTCTGCCCGGGGTTGACACACACCTCACGGGGGCTTTGCACAGGAACGATGGCTAGCGTGGGGGTGGGCGTTTGCTTGAGGTGGGTCACTAGGGGGCTTACAGATAAGGTGGGCCTCCAGGGACAGGGACAGGGACAGGAGCACCCTGCCCCGGGGACGGTGAATCGGGTTGGGGTTTTGCCTGTTGGGAGAGCCAGGCAGCTGGCACCCTTGAGATGGACTCTCTTCCCCGATGTCTCCCAGTCCAGTGCAGGTGGCAGGTGTACTCAGGTGCCCTCATCCAGGCTATGGATGGCCGCTGAGTAGTGCTTCAAGGCTGGCCGCCCTAGGCTGGCAGGGCTTGGGGCTGACCCTGGGTTGGCAGCTCTTGAATTGTGAGTTGCCAAGCCAGGCCCCAGTTCTCCCTGCTTGCTCTCTCCACTTCTCCAGTGGTCCTGCACAGACAAAACAGAACAAACTGCCCCCCTCCAAGTCCTCCCTCATACTCCTCCCACTCCTTTCCTACCTCCTCCTGTTTGGAGCAAAAGTTGCCTTCTATATCCACTCACGCCTAAGCCAGCTCTGGGGGCACTGACCTAGTGGGTGCCAATGCCCCCGCCTGGGGATCTTCTTAGTCTCTGGTGTCCTTGCCCATACAGCCCTGTCAGGCTGCAGGAAAGGAAACTGCCTCTGGGATGGTGCTGGGCTCCCAGGGCTTTGGGGTCTGGAGACCCGGCCTTTATGGGCGGAAGGGCTCAAGGGTACTGCCTTCCTGGGGCTCCCCTAGAGCAGTGTAGATGATCCTGAAGACAGGTTGGACCCTGCGACCTCCCCTGCGGAGCATGACTTCTCTCTCTTCGAGCTCTTCCTCAGAGGAATTGGCTCCTTCTGACACAGATGGCCCCAGGGCAGGCTCCTCCATGCTCCATGTATCCTGGTGTCTGGTTGGCATCGTTAGCTCTGAGTCTGTAGTGTAGGAACTTGGAGGTGGCCAGATGACACTGCAGACACGCATGTCAGAGCCCACCGTCTCACCGTCTTCATACTCTGTATCGCTGGGGTCTCTGTGTGAGGCTTGAGATTCCCATGTGCAGGGTGTGGCAGCTCCCTGCTTTGGTCTGTGACACTTCCTATGGGCTCTGCACTGGGCCTTCCCTGAGATGCATGTGCTTTTGTCCTGTTCGATAGAGTCCCTTCCCACTGGGAAAGGGAGAGGAGGCTTGACCTGGGCCTGCTGGCTATATCCTACCTCACTTGGGTCTCCTGATCTTTGTCTGGGCTGTTCCTTCCCCTTTTTAAGATCTGTCTGCTGCTTGCCAGGGAAAGGAGTGCCTGGATCTCCTGAGCCTGTGCTTCCTAGGGCTTGGGGTGGCTCATGCCCCCAGCCCCTTCCTCGTTTCCCGACCCTTCTTCAGCAATTTTAGGCCTCAGCATGGGTGGAGATTGGTCCTCAGCTTTGGGACATTCTGCCTGGCCATGGCCTTTTCCCATAGTACAGAGTTCACATGACAGTCGCCTGCGCTTCAGTGATGGGGACACACCTTCCTGTGCAGTCTGGGTGCTATTTTCGCTGAAACACCCTGCCTGCATGGTGACCTGAACTGCAGAGTAACCTACTTCTGCTACTACCTGTCTGCCAGAGGCCCTGCGGCCCCTTCCTACTTGCCTCTGTTTCTCTTTCATCACTGCCATAGTGGTCTCCCACTCCTCTTCATCTCGAATGAGCTTCATTAATTCCAGAAAAGTGGGTGGGCACCCTCGCTGATCTAAGAGCTCAAGTTTGCCTCGGAGGGCAGCGGTCATGGAGGCCTGAGCTAGAATATGTTTGAGGCGAATCATGTCTGTGCTTTGCACTGACAATGGGCTTTGCTGCACAGCTTTTTGCAGCAGGGGCTCTAAGCGAAGCAAAAAAGCAGAGATCTTCTCTGCAGACTTCTGAGAAGTCTGAAGAAACCTGAACTGTGAGGTTCTACAGTCCTCTTTATTCCCAAAGATCTGCTTTAGGGCATCCAGGCACTGCTCCACAGTCATGGAGTCATTATTGGCCAGGAGCACCCGCATGATTGACAGTGCGGGACCACGCAAGCTCTCTAGCAGGCGACGCCTCTTCTCTATCTCTGACACCTGCCACATCTGCATCATCTCAGTGACCTGCTCTAGCCAGGCTTCAAAACTCTCTTCCCCTGAGCCTGGGAGAGCACCTCCTGAAAACACTTTCAGCTTTCGGTACCACATGCTTTCCCTCAGAGGCTGCAAAACTGGTGGTTTGACTTGGTCCAAGTCCTCTGGCTCTATGCCCTCAATGGGAAGGGTGCTATACCCCAGAGTTTTGGCCACATCTACCATTCTCCGGCCTTCATCTTTCAGGAAGTAAGTCAGCCTATTGATAAATTCATCATCTGGGTTCCGAGGTTTTACCACTACTTCCCAGGCACCCCCTTTTCCTGGTATCTGACTGGGTATAGCAGCATAGTTGACAGTGTCAGCCAATTCAATGAAGACTGCCTTAGCATTATCTTCCCTCCTGAATATTCTGCCTAGCATCCTGTATGTACACAGGGGATGTAATCCTGCCTTCAAGGTCTCCTTAATTTCGGCCTCAGTACACTCCATAGGGATGCCCACAATTAGCAGGGCTTTCCTGGGATCTAGGTCCATACCCTTGCACCAATCTTCTAACAGTGTCACAGCCATTGTTCCCTCTCTATATACACTGATCTAACACAAGGGCAGTAATCACTTAGAGTTTTATCAGTGCTCAAAGAATTCTGAGCCAATACTAAGTTGGATAGCAGAAGTGTCTCAAGTTTCCACAAGCCTGTAATGCAAATGGGGTAAGAACATTGTTAATGCTTGCCCCCCACCCCCACCAAGAGTCCCTTCTCTGTCCCCATCTCTCCTCAGATATTTACTCTGTGCTTCCCAGGACTCCTGCAATCATTTTGTACAGGGTCTCCCCACACAAAGCTACCTACCTCACCCTTTCCTGCTGACCTCTTCCTGCTGTGGGTTCCTCTTTGGAAGTCTGAAGACTCTGCTGTGTGTGACTCAGGTGCCTGTGGTGAAAAGGCCAATGTCAGGAGTTAGGGCCTGGTGCCTGGAGGCACTGAAGCAGCCCTCCTGGCAGCAGAGGATAGGAAATGCCCTGCTGCCTACCTGGAATTGTGCCGGTCCCAGTCACCAAGAGCACCTTCCTCAGTAAGGGGAAGAGTGGAAGCAGGAGATGCAGAGCTCCCCGTTTCTCAGGAAATGCCTGACAAACAAGAAAGATGGCCGGAGCTCTGTGCAGTGTAATGGGAGTGGTGGGTGTGGAGAATGTGTAACAAGCTGCAGTGTTACCATAGATACCCAGAACAGCATGGACCATGGGTTTCTATCATAGCAGAGTGTCATGTGGTAAGGTTAAGGCCCTTGAGGAGCAACAGGTGATGTCATTTGCCTCCAGCCAATGAAACCTCTTAGCAACGGAGAGAAAGAGGGACAGGGAGGTGGGGTATGAGGTGAGCAGTGAGTGAGGAGTGAGCACTGAAAAAAAACAAGAGCTTATAGTTTCAATTTGTGTGGAAGCTGGAATCAGAGGCAGAAAAGAAACATAGAAAGTGTCTCCATTGCCACACTACAGGAAAGACAACTCTCACCTTAGGTGAGGTCCTATGCTTCAGAGTCTGTGTACCCTGGCAGGCAGACCCTCCCCTTCTACTGTTTGCCAGGGTTACAGAGGCCCTTCCCAACATACCTCACCTCACAGCTGCTCACCCTGCCGCCCAGGGCCCCACTGGAGTGCGGGCGTTGTGATTTGGTTGGCACTAGACAATCAGCCTTCTCTGTCCACTCAGATAGTTCCTAGCCCATGGGTAGTAGATCCTGCTCCACTGGATCTGTCAAGGCAAGGTATAGGTATTTTTACTGTGTTTCTATCCCGCACGCCCCTGCACAGTGTGAGCTGTGCAAATGTCCACAAGGACCCTTGTGCAGTGATATATGAGAAACTGCTCAACTCGAGGCTTCCCTTAGGTCCAAAAGGATCCTTATCACATGGCTGAAGGGATCCTTGTGCAGGGCTGCTTCCCTATCCTCACTGCAAAACCCACCCATCAAGCCCCGCCCCTCAAAAACCCGCCCCATTTATGAGCCCCGCCCAAATCCCCGCCCCATTGTAAGCCCCTCCCCATTCTGAACCTCACTCATACCGAAGCCCCGCCCCTTCCAATGTCCTGCCCTTCTAAAGCCCCACCCATTTTAAGTCCCGCCCCCTCCAAAGCCCCGCCCTTCTAAAGCACTACCACTTTGAACCCCCATCCCCTTCGAAGTCCCATCCCTTCCGAAGCTCCACCCATTTCGAAGCCTCATCTCTACACATGCTCAAGTTCTATCTCCACCTCCACTTTTCTGAGCTCCTCTCCTGCCCATTATCTGAAACCCAGTATAAAGCCAGTCACAGTGGAGAACACTGGTAATCCCACCTACTGCAGAGGCTGAGGCAGGAGGAGTGCTGGAGCCCAGGTAGCAACAGAGCGAGATCCCATCTCAAAAAACAACAACAAAAAAACACCCATATGGCCCATACTGCTTCAAATACATCTCCCACTACCTCACATACCCCCCATTCCAGATTAGGAACACATCTAGTCACTGGTACTGGGCAGAGGCTAGGAGGGGTCGGGGCTAAGTGCAATAAGTCCCCCTGTATTTTCCACGCTTGTTGCACTGCTAGAAATTTTAGAAGGCCCTTGGGGTTCTGGGTCTGGTATAGTGGGATCCCACTTCCAGAAAAACCTTCTGACCACTGACACCTGGGATGCTGTGGAAAACACTAAGGGTCACTGGGGACAGTCCACTGTGATTTGGGTTGCTGTCTGTGCCCTGGGCCCAGCACCATACCTGCAGGCCAAGAGTTCCTCTAGATGTAGCCACCATGTGTCTGCCACCGCTTCCGTGTCCAAACAGAATGGAGCACGAGGGTGTGGCGGCAAGAACATATATAGGGTGACAGCCCCCCTCCCACCCCCCAGCTGCACACGGCCCTCTGGCAGCTGCGCCCTAACAATGTCACCCTCACCACTCCCCATCCCCCCAAAGCAGGATCCTCACTTTTACTCCCCCATCCCTTTACATTCAGTACCTGGGGTGGATAGGAACTTCAAAATGAACAGAGGACCACTTACGTTGTGCAATAGGTCCAGGTCCAGTTGTAGTATTGGCTCAAAAGAAAATGCGTGGCCTGCCACGTGACCCATCAGACCCAGCAACCATTGCGTCTACTACTGCACATGTCACTCCCTCATTGGATGGAAGATGTAGCGTCATAGCCACCACTCTCATTTCTATATTCAAATTGCCAGCCCAGGGCCGGGTGCAATGTATATGGCTATTTGCAAAGTATAAGGTCGAGTGCAAAATACAAAGCTTTGTGCAAAATACAAGGCCGAGTGCAAAATACAACGCCGCCAAGCGCAAAATACATGGCTGCGTGCAAAGTACAGGCCCAGTGAGTGCTTACTAATTAAAAGTCATATTCCTTGTTTATTTTTTATTAGGATTTGTTCTTGGGAAGAGAGGAAAAAATACAGCAGCTTCCTGCATTTCACAAGGGCATGAAAATTTTCAGGGTGCACGGAGACAAGACTATCAAAAGATTGCACAACCAAGTATTGTTCAAGTATTTTCTGCCAGTGCCCAAACTGCTTCCTTACCTTTCCCAAAATGGATTTAAGACTCGGATATTTGCTCAGTGGCCCCAAAGCCTGTTCTGGAAAATTCTGTGGATGTAACACAAGTAACCAACTGCAAATTGAACATGAATCTCCAGACATTGTGATGAAAATACAGTCTCTGAATCAGGAGGTCTGGGGCTGATCTGAGAGTTTTCTAAAACTTAGGGACTGCATGCTGTGGATCCCTGCCCATACTTTGTGTAAGAGGCTCTGGAGCCTGAGATTACGTTTGAGAATTAAAAGTTGTGGAATTTTGGTGAAAGAATGGATTTGTACTCGTATATTTGAGATTTAAAAGGAAGGGCTTCAACGAATCCCACTATTAAGTTTAATTATAAGACATGAATAAAAAGAAAAATAACAGGCTTTTCTAGAATTTGTTGATAAAAATGTGAAAAGCAGAAAAAAATTTAAATTAAAGGTCACTGAACAAGATGTCTGTGAGCATGGTCTGTTTTCCCACCTTCTTACTTTTTATAGTGCTGGCCATGGAAGCCAGGCTGTGCATATGTTAAGCATGTGATCTACTACTGAGCTGCACCCCCAGCCTCTAACTGCAGCTATTTTTTATGTCTGAGGAGACCATGGAGTTCATGAAATCAATATCCTTTACAACACCACTTGAAGAGATCACACTCACCTCTGGAATACTCAGCTTTTTTTGCTGCTGCTACTAAAAGACCCAAGAAGAACAATTTTAGAGGAGGAAATTTTTATTTGGGTGTTCATGGTTTCAGAGGTCTCAGTCCATAGACAGCAGGCTCCATTCTTCAGGGCTTGAGGTGATGCAGAACACCATGGTGAAAGAGTGTGGCAGAGGGCTGGGGTTGTAGCTCAATAGTGGAGCACTTGTCTAGTATGTGTGAGGCACTGGGTTTGATCCTCAGCACCACATAAAAACAAATAAATAAGACAAAGGTATTGTGTCCATTTAAAGCTAAAATAAATATGTGTGTGTGTGTGTGTGTGTGTGTAGAGAGAGAGAGAGAGAGGGAGAGAGAGAGAGAGAGAGAGAGAGAGAGAGAGAGAGAGAGAGAGAGAGAGAGAGTGTACAGAGGGAAGTAGCTCACATGATGATCAGAAGGCAGACAAAGACTTCCTCAGTGATCAGGACTTCCCAGAGATTGTGTGAGTATGACTGAAAGCCCCTTTTCAGAATCTTGAGACCACACCCAGGGGAGTGGGATGGGGTATGTGCAAAAAATCCCCAGTAAGGGGGATTGAGCACAGAGGGGCCCTGGGGTGTACAAGAAACCTATAATAAGAAGGTTTGAGTACATAGGGGGAATCTCAGTTACAGGAACCTACAAAAAATGGGGAATAAAATTTCTAGGCCCAGGGTCAGGGAAGAACAGTGGAAAGATCCCATATGTACAARTCTTCTTTGTTTTCCTTTGAAGAGTCTAAGTAGGGAAAATAAACTGGTGATGGTGGGAGTCAATCTGCTCCCATGGAGGACGCGTAGCCATCTGGACCTTTGATTTCAACATCCACCATGGCTGACAGATTATTCCTAATGCTCCAAACCACACAGGCCCTTTTCACGTCTGGGTTATACTGTAAAAATCTGTGACAGCCTCTATTTTAATCTGTGTATTGTATGGATGTCTATGTATGTGCTGGGTCTATATCATGTACATGGTACCAAAATTGGCTTACAGATAGATAAATGAGTACTCATAAATTTAATTAATGGATCCAAATGCCTTTCAGTTTACATGACTTAAATAAAACTTTAACAAAAAGGGTCAATCTAAATTGGTAAGAGTAAATATGCCTTTGAAATTTCTAACCCACACGTTTTTTCTGGTTGGCTAACCAATCAGAGTATTGGTTTCTATGAAGCTAATCCCCTACTAATGGTGTGATTCTATGTACAACCAGAGACGTGAACAAATGTGCTCTATTTGTGTAATATGAATTGAATTGCATTCTGCTGTCATATATAACAAATTAGAATAAATGAAATAAAATAAAAAG